ATCGGCCGCTGTTACATGACACGCTCTGTATGGAAAGGATGCGCTTTTGAAAATATCATCGAAAAGTCCGAGCGTTTCTTCAAAAACTCCTCCTTTCATTCATTGATTGCATATTGTTGAGAGATCTCATATGTTTCAGGATACCTTGACTATGTTTCAATGGCAAAACAATGTAGAATCTCTTTTCCTCGATGAAGTTTTCATCACCGATACAATGTTTTAAGTATAAGATACATTGAAGGCAATATTTTTTCCATGCAACAAAATAGTCGGAGTGGTAAAAACAATCAGAACCTCTACTAAAGTTGCTACATCAACATCAGATGTTCATTCTCTACTCTCATCTTCAATATTATCTACGTTTCTCAGACGTAATTTGAAAAGCAGATCAATTAATAATTTGTTAGAATATTGTTTTCACAAGAAATGATAATGCACATACTTGTCTTCAGAAGGAAATATACAAGATGAAGAGTGGAGAATTTCTCACTATAATTAGATCATGAGGTCAATTTTGATGCAATATCAATTTACTATTGATCGGGCGTATTCAGGAAATTAGTATGTAGAAGGCATTACATTGAGTTAAAAGCATTTGGGGGTAACATATTGTTTTGACCTACCTGGGTATGAATATTTTACGACTGAGGAAGTATAGTGTGGAAATCTCGGACTGATTTTCCTCAATAGAAAAACTATACGAAATATATATCATCAACAAAATCAGTTTCACTCACTCTTCCAGGGTCCTTCCAGGAACAAATTTGAAATTAGTCCAAAATTTCCACGATTGTGATAATAATGAATTCGTGTCATTATGGTTTATCTTCAGCTCTATATCTTCAATAACTAGAAAGTTACATAGATCACTGTGTATCTTTCAATTCCTGAATCAGGAACCTACTCCTTATACGCTCATATAGTAAATAAATTTATCATTATTCAAATCTCATTTTATCTTTGAAAACCTGCATACCCATTGTTGATGAGTAGTTTCCACCATGATATTATTTCATTCAAACTGGTAATTATTATGGAGTATTTTTGATGAATGCATTTTCAACACAATACCTAATAAAAGAACAATAACTGAAACACGGACTAAATTTTAATACACATTAAGTCATTAACTTTACAATATAACAGAACAAGCAATCGCTTTTGTGTTATAACGAAACAAAAGCATCACTTTATTTATGGCGTTCTGAATATTAGATCAGCGATTTACGAGTAATGAGCTTCACATGTTTTACATTTTATTTGCATTTATTTCAATTTCTTAATCGCGCTTTTATGGACTGCAATAAAGCACTTTCTTCTGAAAACTGTACATTCTATTAGTAGGCGTATCACTCAAGCTAGAGCACTTAAATCATCGAGGATTTTATTATTTTTATGGCATACATTGGCATACTGTGCCATCAACAGGTTTTTTTCAGGAACTTCCTCGGTGCCTATATTCTCAGATTTTTATGGATTTTTCTAATCTCGATATTGACCAGTGTGTGGCATCATCAACTAGGTACCTACACTTTCTATATATCATATCTAACAATCTATACAGGGTGTTTCTTAATGATATGCTAATATTCAAGGGGTCAATTCTTCGACCTATTTCAAGAATAAAACTTCATATGAACATATGTCGTGAACGTCCTAACTTTTGAGACACATATGGTGTCAATTTTGAAAATATGTATAGATTATTTTTTTGACCACCCTGTATTGATTTTCTTATCTGTATACGAATTCCAAAATGTTACATACTGTGGTTATCCAGTAATGGATGTACTGAATGGAGTACTCAAAATTTTAAGTTTGGTCTCGTTTTTCCGTTTTTTCTCGAAAACGAAGCGATCTATCGATTATCAATATGGAGAACTTCTTTGTCCATAATTGGACAGCCTTTCATGACATTGTATTGAATTTGAAAGTTTTTTGTCGTTGCTCACTTTTAAGTAAAATATAATCAATAATATTCCCGTAACGGTACCAATGGTAGAGAAAATGAAAATTTTTGTACATTAGAAAATGCACCTTGATGCATAAAGAACGTGTACCAAATTTCATGAAGATGTGTACAATAATATTGTCTCAGATATTATCAAAGAACTGAATATTTTTCAAAACTTCATCACCCTGTATCTCAAAAGTTAAGACTTTTAGGACATACATTCATATGAAGTTGTCTTCTTAAAATGAGTCAAAGTATCACTCCCTCGAATATTAGCATGTCTTTAATATTATGTTACCACATTCTTACATAAAGGTATAGACTACAAGCCCATATGCTACTTTTGGCATGTGACCCAGCATGAATTATCATACTTCTCTAGGTCCTGTGCTGTCAGTTGGGAGCGGTACACAGTAATGTTAACATTTTATATTTATCAGGACACATTCATTGGTTGAAATATTCCAATGTGCCGTAGTTATGAGTTTTTTTTTCAATATAGAAACTTATACGGGGTGTTTCTTAAGTACGTGTAGAAAATTCAGGGGCATGTTGCTGACGTCAAAATAAGATGAACAGTTGTTCGTTTCTGAAAAACTGAGTGTCAAAATTGAATTCTCATTTTTGTTTCTTGTTAATGAAATTCGAAATAATTGTGATATTCGTATGAAGTTTGGTATCTTTGGGAATTTTTCGATGATAATATCAAATTTTATGTTAGAGTGTCTCTTTCGTGGGGGTGGCAATACCTACATGTCTTTTGAGTTTTTTGAAAAGTCATAACTTTCTTCTGTGTACCTGTTATATTATGGTCATAATATAATAAACACGAGCAAAAATGACATGGACAAGGGTTACACTTGCTCACCACTCAGCTGCCATCAGCCGAATACTATATGAACTAGTCTTTACACACGTCTGTCATAGGCTCTGATCTAAGCACATTCCACTGAGCAGTGGCGCATCTAGTTGCTAGATGCTAACAGTACCTGTATCTCGTTTTATAGTAAAAAACTAGATTCCTAGAATACTTTTGTGTAAAAAATATTTTCCTGGTAGAGGTCGCTGTGGGCAACTGTTTGGGATTGGGATTGGGATTGGAAATAATCAATGCAAGTTATTTGGAATGACAAGAAGTTGGAATTGAAAATTGATTTATCGAGTTTTCATTATAATTTTCCTTAGTTTCATTTTAAAATAGGAATCGGGTGTTATTACAATTTGATACTGATAATAATAACAGTAAATAAAACCAAATTAATACTAAAACAGTTACTTGAGGGAATTGATTAAAGTAATTGTTCAAAGTGGCCACCTTGCATCATTATGCATGCGTCTGCTCGTCGTCTCATAGACCCACGAACACGTTTCATTATACTATAGGTGTATTACGTATAGCGTCACATCCAGCAATGATCCGTTGACGAAGTTGATCTTCGCTTTCTATTGGCACCGTATAAACTAAGGCCTTCAAGTGACCTCACAAGAATATCGATTGGATTCGAATCGAGGGACCTCGGAGGCCAGAACTGATTTGGAACTTCAGCTCCTGTTTCTGAATCGCTGATTTGAAAATCCATGGACTATTGGTTCAAAATGCGCTGGAGCTCCATCATGCATAAACCATATACTTTGTCTCAGTAAAAGTGAAATGTCTTCAAGTAATTCAGGCAAAATATGTTCAAGGGAATCATGGCAACAATTTGCAGAAAGATCCACACATTTAATGAAAACCTGTGTTGATACCTGGACTGAACTATAGCAGAGGCTTTTCGTCACTCCTCATGTGATTATTGTGGAAGTTTATCATGGCGTCCTTTGAAGAAGTTGCCTTGTCAGTGAACAATACCTCTGCAATGAATAGAGGGTTTTGTGCAATTTTCTGTAGTATCAATTGGCAAAATGTTATACGGGGAAGGAAATATCGGGGCGACAATGCTTAGATACGCTGTATGTGATAAGGATACAACTGATTTTCTTTGAGAATTGACCAAACTAATTTGTGATGCACGTTCAGATTTGGATCAAATTTTTCTCCTGCTTGTCTGTGGATCATCTTCGATTGCCTGAAGAACAGCTTCTCCAATTTCTGGAGTCCTAGTAGTCAACGGTCTGTCTATCACTAGAGCTTTTTTGAAGGATCCAGACTCCATAAGACGCAGAAAAAGGTTTCTGAATGTCTGGTGATTTGGTAGTACTCGCTTGATTGTTATTTTTTTGAATTGGAAGAGCCCAAAAAAGTAATTACAAAGAAGTAAGAATCCTCTTTTGCCTACATTACAATGTTGAATGTAGAAGAATATAGAATGAAAGAAGAAAAATGAACTAGCGTATCTTTTCTGATATTTGCTTCTTGAAGGCGACTAACGAGCCTCATGTGAATAATTCAAATGCATCGATTATTTCAAATCCCAATAACTCGAAAACAGTTGCACGCAGCAACCTCTACCAAGAATATATATTTTTCACACGAAAGTGTTCTACAAATCAATTTTTCTACTATAAAACGTGATACAGGTTCGCACAAAGAAGTTATGGCTTTTCTAAAAGACTCAAAAGACATGTAGGTGGCGCCACTCCCAAGAAAAAGATAAAATTACATAAAATTTGATATCATCATTGAAAAATACCCCTAGATACCAAACTGTATTCGAATATCACAATTATTTTGAAATTTATTAGGGAGAAACAAAAATAAGAATTCAACTTCGATACTCTGTATCTCAGAAAGGAGTAACTTTCGGACATATATTCATACGAACTTTTGTTCTTATTTTGACGTACTTAAGAAACACCCTGTATAAGTATCGATTCCATACTGAACGTGCAGTTGGGAATATTATCATGGTAAAACCCCGAATCATCGACCACCCGGTATAATACACAACAACGCATCCATTCAAATTAATATTTATTCACCTGTTGAAATGAACATCCACACCCAAGAGCGACCTGATACCCGAACCCCCTAAAGTTTAAACCGGCATATGCGGCCCCGTGTTTTTAATTATGGATCTCTCGACACCCGAAGCCGTCTTGATTTTCTTTATTTGTGTGGAGGAGTGTGCGAGAGCGGGCAGCTGGTCAGGTCATCGATTGCCCTCCTAATGAGTCCATCTGGCGAGTCGCAGAGACCAAAGGGCACAATTTCCACCCTTGCCCTGCCGGATCTTTGTCCATTTCCTTTCTCGTCCGCTAATCGAGAAGCGGACAACGGCGCAGAAAACCGCTTCGGCAGAACTGGATGTTTGTCTTGCCCGGCGATTTGAGGGATGATATTTCGTTTTGTTTCGCGAATTACGCAGAGTTCAGTCATTTGGTGCTCAAATAGGGGGTTACCTGAAAAGTTCTCCGGTAGTTTTGAAAATTGTTATTTTTATAGATTTCCACGTGCCCTTTTCGAATTTTCACTTTGCCACCTCGTATCTTTGCCGTTCGCGCCGCCATATTGGAAAAATTGCGCCCAAAAACAGTTTTTTCACGATATCTCCTTTCCTACTCATTTTATGATGAAAATAGTTATGTGATAAATTGAACTAGAGAAAATTTCCTACAATTTATTTAGTTATTTTTTTCGGTAAAATTGATAGTTTCAGCGTACTAGCGCCGCGAAGTCTAATCCGACACGCGTATATATCAGCAAAAAAACTCATTTCCACACCACCATGAGGTAGAGTAAGTGGCGCGTTTTTTTTTTGTCGTATCTCCAGTGGGCCTAATTCACATGTATTACACTAATGATGACATTTAGTGCATTCTCCTTCGCTTCGTCATCCCTGATGGACCAGGTTTTGCGAGTTCATCGTCTTCAGACCCGAGCAAAACGCCACAGACAGAAATTTCTTCCATGTTATCTGTGATCGAAGCTGATAACCCAGCTTCGAAGTTATCAACTTCTTCCTCGATTTCGTCATAGGTTCGCTCGAAAACGGTGTCCGTTTCTTCCTTTTCATCGCTATCTTGTAGTGAAAATTGCAAATTCTCACATAAGCACTTCAATCCAGCCTTCCTGCATTCCTCCAGGCTCCCCGATATCCCTTTTTGCATTTGCAAGAAATAAGTTTCAACAAGATTTCCGGAGCTGGCGGGTCGAGTGTGGTGACAGGAATTAGCCCATTCTTTGTTTTTTTTTTCATCCCCGTCGCTCTGCATTTTGATCCAATCCATATCACTGCTGCACCTGGTGGTATAGATTCGGAACGAATGTTGTCGTGATGCTGCTTCTGTAGGTGGCAGCGATGCAATATTGAACTTATTTTTTAGTTGGAGCGTTGGCAAACAAATGAGTTACAGACTATTTTCATTAATTAATCTTGAATTTACCATTTCCATTCACAGATTCTAGTAGTGAATACGATGTTCTATCTATATCAACTGAACATAAAGCAATGCTATTGTCTCCTATACAAAAGACTGCAAGCAGATCCCTTGGTTTTTCTCTTCTGGTTATTATCTTCTTTTCCAATGATTTGAATATTATTCCACTGTAAGTATATCTTGTGTTTGTGGAAAGTTTTATACAGGTGAAACCAAGCAACGTCTCTCAGTTATGACGAAATACATATCGACAATTCCAAACTAGCTGAGCATAACCTCAATTCTAAATTCCTGATTGGCGGAGTTACCCTATGTATATCCACGTATATTCGAAATTATACAAGGTGGCTTAACTGAATCGAACGTTCTGATTGGTTTGAATTCATACCCTAATATTAGAATAATCACCCTAATATTGGAACACCAATCATTCAAATATTGAATTGAAAGCAAGTTATTTGATATAAGATACCTTTTTTCTCAAAATACCACATCAGGATTTCAGGTGAAGTTTTGCTTCAGATTCTAATAAAACAGTTGTTTCCTGTTGGAAATACCGTAAGAGAATTGATTTTCTATCAGATAGAGAATAAGAATTCTCAATTTATATCTCTTTAATTATTTTCATTTTTTCATGTTCATGATATATCTGACAATATTCCTTCTCAAAAATCATCATAGAATACTGAAATGTCAATCATTTAACTAGCTATTATATTAAGAAATGCAGTACAATAGAGTTCACAATGATAAAAAAAGTGATGATTTAATCTATAAAGCGAAGACAAATCCAACAATCGAAGTGCGTTAGCTACATTCAAAATTGGCTCAATTAATATGCCTTATTTTCTCCTAGTACCTACCAACAACGGTCATGCTCACAGAACAGCGATTCCTTCACATTATGTAACTAAAGTGACATTCACAATTAACGGAAGTTGTTACGTATAGTACTTTCAAACTAATGAAACAATTAAATGCTATTTTAATACATTTGAAGTGCATTGATCTCATAACTGGCTAAAACGGTAAATCTCCGATATTATAATTGTTCATTGATGATTTTTTTCTTGACGGTGTCATGGACTGCTGATTACCCGTTGCTAATCGTTCATATTCTGGTTGAATGTCATCAACAAACAGACTCCATACTTGCGAATGAACATAATTTTTCTTATTTCGTGGCCCTCAACTGATAAACTTGGAAACATGTTCATTTTCACTGGAAGAGACGAACTTTGTAAGAGAAAAAATATTGAATTGATTATACCACTAAACAAGGACAAGGCACCCTGATGTATCTTCTGATTGACGTTCAAGAACTTGTCTTGCTTTACGTAGGAATTCAAGATGATCATTCGACAAGTGGTCAACTCCATTTTCGAGCTGTTATCTTAGCCAACTCCTTCTTATTCGTAGATCCGTCATCCCAGAGGTCCAGAGGATATGTCGATGGATTTAAAACGTGTATTATATACTTTTCATTCATGTATACACATTTATCTGAATCAAATCAATAAAATCTTCAGATATAAGACAGATATGAATTGAGTTTAGTTGGTAACAATGAAAAAACATTTGAATGGTTATTCCCAAACTTGACAGGTGGTAGAAGAACTTTTCAAATTAACATCATCATTCCAGCGATATAATTTGAAATTGTTGGTTTATCAAAATTCTGAATTTGATTGATTGATTTGAATCGCCTTCATTAGCTGTTTGCGGAGGAATGTGAATAATTTTATCTTTCCAGTGCACAGAAAAGAAAATTGAAGTCATACTCCCATAATTATTGATTCATACATGAAAAATAAATATGAAGATCTTAAGTATAGCGGTCTTACTGGATTTATGGACAGGTTTGAAATTCGGAATAGGTACCTATCAACTACACAAACACTGACCTAAGAAGACGTCATAATGACGTCGTCCAACATTCTCCCGGCCAAACGAAAGAAATAATCAGTGGTTTTCTCACCTGTCTATTCAACGAAATTCGAGTTTGTTTATACGTTTCTCTACAACGTGATGGAGCTTTATTCGCCAACAATCCATACGAAGCAATCAAACTATTTTTATTCCGCTTACATCTCGCCGACACTCGCCTCATAATTTCAGAAAGAAACATGAATAGCTAATGTTATCACATAGAGATGCGAACTGATGAAAACGTCAGGATTGAAATGGAAATATTTACAGTTTAGTCCCTCATAGGTCATAATTTTGACGTATAGGTATGACGTCTTATGACTGTTACATCTTGACGTCTTTTCTAGGTCTTCAAGACAATATTTTTTGACGTCAATCGGTCAGTTTTGTGACCAAATCAGGACGTCATTCGGAAGACACTGTGCTGCCTGGGCAGTTGCTGAAGGTTACATATTATATGCTTCTGTGAAGAGAAGAATTGAGGTAGGTAGTCAAAATTTTCTTCTCAGCCTTCAACTTCTACACATTCTGATGCCTCTACCTCACAGTCGCATTGCTCAAACAATAACTTGAATAATCAGACTAATGAGTATAATTTTGTCTCAACAGCCGCCCAACAAAACGCACCAGCAAATTTTATCGGTTATAAATGCTCAAGATACCTGTAATGTTTCAGTTATTTGTTGTGTTCTGTCTCTAGACGCAATTGTGTCTGACAGTTTGACGTTGACGTTACCATTACCAACTTTGAAACAAGAAATTCAGCTAATACAAGCTGTTTCGATGCGCATTTGGGTGTCATAATGACTTTATTAAGGGCACAGAATAGAAAAAGAATGAGCATTTGTATTCAATATGCATCCTTGCAATGTTTTACATTGCCAGTTACAGAATCAGTTGTTTTTTCATGTTATAGAAAAGAGAAGAATGCATGCCTACATCATCAACCTCAGTGTAACTTGAACACTCAACATGAATATATGGAAGAAAGTTGTGACGCGTCTGAAAAAAAAAAATAGGTTACAGTGTTATAAGCATCAGCCATCTATAGGAACGGCAGAGTGTACCCCGTATAAATCCTAATAAACCGGTAGATATGTGGTGATAAATCCCCATTTCAGTCGGAGATGCGTCCTCATTAATCCCGAGCGGACATGTCCGTTTACTGGCCTTCCATAAAGCACTTCCATGTTTCGGGATATCATAGTGCTTTTCATTTCTATAACAGTGATTTATCAACGTGGTGCTCTAGAAGAGTCAGGATATTAACTGGTAACGAGAAACGAGGCAGATGTTTTTGAAAAATTCGGAAGAGTTCTATACAATAAGTTCCCCACAATATACTGGTCCACACAAAGAACTACACGAGTGTACTATTTTTTTTCTCAAATCGATTTCAAGGTGAGAAAATCATCAATATTGCCACGGTGATTTTCAAACAGGTAGAAATTCACCTCAAATAAGATATGACGTCACGATTTCGTAAGTAGGTGCAGGTCAATACGAATGGGAATATATTGATATCCCAAATTAGCTCGTATTTTTTCCTCTCAATGAGACTCAATTGCATATAATGATGAATTTGTATTAATAATGATTATATTTTTTCAAACTAGAGAATATTTCGTCCGGTAAACGTGACAACACAGGATTGTGGGCGCTGTCTTGTCAGTTCTCAGGGTTTAGCACATCATTGCCAAGTCTCTAGGGTAGCCTACATTCTCATGATATTATGTTATGGAGTATAAGAAATATTTTAACAATTTGTTTGCTCAATAAATTCACACAGAATAATAACTATAATATCATAGCTCCCTCCTGTAAGGTCAAATGGAATATTCAATTCGAATATAGTTTTATTCAACGACAGGCCTCTATCAACTTTTTACTAGTTTAAGATTGGTGACTTCACAACCTTGCTTCATTGGTGGGGATGGAAGATTATCTGTCCAATATTGAAAATAAATTCAGGTCCCCAACGACACAGTGAAGTTGTTGAATACCAATTATTTACTACTAGTCCACTCGTCCAATAGTCTTATATTTTATCTTGATAATCTTGGTCGTGGAGACGACTATCAACCTTTTATCCGCTTTCATCTTTTCATTCCTAGATTTCAAGAAGGATTTCTGGTTCCTGGCAAAACCTACCATGATTGATGCATTGAAAGGACCTTCACAGATTTATTGTAGATCTTCTTTGTATACATAATATCTTGCTGGGTCATTTGATTAGAATCCATAACCATGACGGTAGCTGTTGGATTTTGCTACACGCAGTGCAGTTTCTTTTACTCCCAACTACTTCCGCTAGTAAGATTGACTTTATATATGTATATTTTGTATATAGAGCCACCAGTGCCCTGTCATTAGACCTAACATGCGATGGCTCAGCAGGTTTGCGGTGAATTCGGGCGAGTGTTCTCTGTGTTTTGGTCTACTTTTCGCGGTACCCAGGGCAAATCTTGTCTTGGACCACTCCAATAGGTGTCTGGTGCGGAACGATTGCTCAAATTGTCATAAGAAATTGAATTCTCATCGGCATTCATCATACTTGAAAATAAGAAATGTAAAACGTGAAGGTGTAATAGACAATCAACTATTTCGAGATATTCACAACATAAGGAACAAATAATATTAATATGGAAAATATAAAATAGTTGAAAAAATATCGAGAGAAGAATATATGGCCATCAAAATGACAGGTACAAATAAAAAGTTGAAATTTCTCAAAATAGAATACATCTATTCTATTCTCAATGAACGAACGCTAACAAGTATTTTCAAATATTCAAATACCTCACTGCTCTCTTGTGTAATACAGATCAAATAAAAAATGACCCTCAATAACAAATCCCATATTCCAAATGGGAGTCAATAAGAGCAAAATATACCTCTATATATCT